CTCCTCCTCCTCTTCTTCTTCTTCTTCTCTCTCTCTCTCTCTCTCTCTCTCTCTCTCTCTCTCTCTCTCTCTTGGTTTTTTTGAGACAGGGTTTCTCTGTGCAACAGTCCTGGCTGTCCTGGAACTCACTTGTAGACCAGGCTGGCCTTGAACTCACAGAGATCTGCCTGCCTCTGCCTCCTGAGTGCTGGGATTAAAGGTGTGCGCCATCACTGCCTGGCTTCTTTTCTTGTTTCTAATGCTTACTGATAATTTTTTATGTGTACGGGCATCTTCCCTGCTTATATGTCTGTATGTACCACTTGTGTGTTTGGTGTCCTTGGAGGTTAGAAAGACGGGGTTGGAGCCTCTGGCATTGGAGTTACTAGATAATTGTGAGCTGCCATGCATGTTAGGAATTGAATTCCGGTCCTCTGGAATAGCAGCCAGACTCTTAACCACTGAGCCATCTCACCAAGCCACCCCTCACCAGGATTTCTTAACGTTCTTGTCCCCTGGATTCCTTTGAGAGCTGCCTACTGAAAACTGAGACTCTTCAGAAACATTTAAAAAATATATTCAGTAGATAAGATTAGCTGGAGATAGGTTATATTAGTTTTCAAAACTTTACAGTTTAATATTTGTGTTGCTTTATTGTTACATAGCTAGATGGAGTGGTGCATTGAGTAATATAATTTTGATGTAGTAATAAGGATAAACATTTATAAGATCTGTACTGAAACGTGATAAGGTGTTGATTTCTCTTGTTGACAAAGTCAGAAATTGCCAGTAATAACATGCATGGTTTTTCACCTTCATTCATGCTTAAGGGAAATGCTAAATTTCATTGAGAAACCAGTGAAGAAGGGAGATACAGATGTTTTCCCATGAAGGTTTATGACCAAACAGAATTCACTGAAGACCAGGGGTAAGGACCACTGTCCTTCATGCTTCCTTCATCCCTGTCTCAGAACTGCAAATCAAGTCTGGCAGGTCAGTTTTCCTCAGCCAAAACCATTTAAAATCTCAATTACTTGATGCAGCCATTCCACTCATTTCTGCTTTACTCATTTAAAAAATGAGAAATAGCACACTAGCAAGAAATAGCCCAGTGCTTTTGGAAGGCTTTTTGAATACTCTTGGTTGTGATTTCCCTGGGAAATGAGATGATTAATGTGACTGGGCAGGTATACTTATCTCGAGTATCTGGAGGTCCCAGGGATGTTTAGGCTGGCTCACTAATGCAGGCGGTTTTCCTGTGAAATGACCAACTATGTGATCATTTCAGTGAGCAATTCCTTCATGATGAAGCATTGGGGAATAGGCCCCCTCTCTGCAACTTGGCTCAAGAATGTAAGAGAATAAGTGAATTGAGAGCTCTCCTGGGTGAGGAGGCAGGCCAATCCATCCTGTTGATTGAAGCCCCCCCCCCATCTCCCAGAAAGAGCATAGGAAACTTGCTCTATCCCTTTCCCAAGAGGTGGAAGGCCCCACATAGTAGACTTGGCTTTGACCATGGAGTTAGTTTTATTAGGGAGCATTTTCTTGACTTTGTCCTATAATACTCTTACATCTTGGTTAGTGGTTATGATGGTAGCTTAGGTTCACACTGCTTGATTCTGACTACATAGATAGCCTTAGCACAATTATTGTCCTCTATTTTAAAAAAAGATTATTATTATTTGTATGTAGGTAGGTATGTATCTGCATGGATGTGCATGTGAGTGCGTGCGCCCATGGAGGCCAGAGACATCAGATACCCTGGAGCTTGAGTTATAGGCAATTTGTGAGCTCCTTGCTGTGGGTGCTGGGAACCAAACTTGGGTCCTCTGGAAGAGCAGCAAGTGCTTTTAACTGCTGAGGCCACTCTGTAGCAGCTATTTCCTTCCTTCCTCTCTTTATCCCTTCCTCCTTTCCTTTCTTCCAAAAAGATTCGTGTGTGTGTGTGTGTGTGTGTGTGTGTGTACACGTACGTGTGTGTACGTATGCACACTCATGCCTGAAGAGTCCAGCAGAGGGCATCAGCCAGACCACCTGGAATTGGAGTTACAGGCAGGACCTGGATGCAGGAATCCAAGCTCAGGTCCTCTGGAAGACAGTAATCACTCTCAACTACCGATCCATCTCTCTAGCTCCATTATCCTCTTATTTTCTAGATATCACCTTGATCTGCATGTGTCTGAGTTTAATTAGCTACTCTAACTCTCCCATCTGTATCCTCCCAGTGTTAAGGGAAGCTGTCAATATATCTCATGCTTTGACTGGTCCCATCCCATGCAGTATTTATTTCAAGTTGTCTTCACAACCTCATTATACAGTCTACATATCTCTCATCTGTTGTCCATAGCTGCTGGAGTATTTCATGTTTGCAGAGAGTGTCTTTGTGGAAAAGAATAGACACACCAGGATCTGGATTCTGATTCTGCCACTCATCACTAGACATTTTTCTTAGAAGTGTGATGGAGGCAGATGAAGAAAATTCAGTGCACATAGGAAATAGTTTTGACCTTAGAGTTCACTCTAAAGGGGAACTTAGAATAGCTTTTTCTAAGTAGACCATGGAAGAAGGAGGCTGGCTTGAAGAACTTACTCGTTTGGGCTTCAAGAAAACAATCTGGTGTGAAGTGGGTAGTGTATCCTGCTCTGAGCAAAGGTGCAGTCCTAATGTGGTGGAAGGAAACTTCAAAGCCCAGTCCTCCCTTGCTGGGTTCCTTCTTATTTCCTTCATGGAACTAAGGGGACCAGAAACTTGGGAAGGTGTACAAAAATAGGCTAGAAAACTGGAATGGTACGTCAGATCTGCAGGTGGTCACTTCTGTGACCAAATCTTTTTTCTCCCATTTCCTTGTCAGTGGCCTCATCCTTAGGTCTCTCCATTCTGCAGCCACACTGGGTGGATTTTCTGTACCTGGTGTCCCCTTGTTCCCTGACCAGCACGTGGACGACTGCCTTGGCTCAGATTTCAGTGCCAGCCAGGCCACACATTCAGACTAGTATAGGGTCACATAGCTCATCCTAATTTCTTGTCTATAATTTGAATCTGGCTCTGGGCTCCTGATTATTGCTCTTGCAGAGGACCCTAGTTCAGCTTCTAGAACCCACAGCCATCTTTAATTTCACTTCCAAGGGATCTGGTGCCCTCATCTGGTCTCCACAGATGCCCACACACATGCATACCCAAACATATATACATAAAATCTTTAAAATCCTGAAATCTTGAATTTGTATGGACAATATAGAAACAAGTGAAG